GCCATTAATATCACTTTCAGAAAAGTAAGACACCCTCGGAAAGAAGCATAGCTTTTAATGGCATGGCACTTTAATCTATGATTCAAATATGAACATTAAAAGTTTTTTATTTGTGCTTAATCCAATTACATGGTACATTTTGGCACTGCTTCTCAAAAAATAATGGTAAGTCATAACATTCCAGGGCCAGGAATAGGCCCTTAGAAGTTCAAAGCTTTTCTTGGCTCCTTGAAATAAAGGTTAAATAGAACATAGTTTAGAGTGCCTACAATTCCATTGCATCTGAAGTAGAAATACAGGTGAAACAAAGCTGCTAACAGTCCTTCAGGGAGTACGAGTTAGTATAGAAATATTGAATATTCACATTACCATACTTAGATTAAATGGCTACTATGGGCAGTTGCCTGTCAAAACTCTTTTCATTTGCTTTTTTGGTAATTCACTTTAACAGATGAGTGGTTTTATTACTGCAGTGCGTTTTGTTTATGAGTGTAGAAAAAATAATAGGTAGATTTCTATAGTTGCTCCTAAGTAACCCTATACGCCTAATGATTTCTAGACTTCGGGGTTTTGCTTTACAAAAAAAAAAAGAAAGTGTTAAGCTTAGACCTTTTGGTAACATTTAGATAATTTTTTGTAATTTGATTACATTTACATAACAGAGCCCTGTGAAAAGGATCTCTACCTGTCCTTTTACTATTCCACCTTGATTCAACCCTAGGATGCTCTAGAGATTGTGCTTTGCAGAAATATAATAGGAATTTTTAGTGCTTGATAAACTCAAAATGAGATGAGAAAGTATTTTAATTGATACACAAAAGAAAATTACATTCAAGTAAAATCAGTAAAAAGACAATTGTTTTCTATGCTTTAAAAATTAAATTAGCATATGTCCTGTATAACATAGTATACAAAGTCCTGTATGTATGGCTCATTATTGACATGAATTTTAGAACTATTTCTATCAAGGCTTTAGATTTTGACAGCATATTGATACATTTTATTTTGATTTACATAGTACTTAAAGCTATAATAGTATTTGCCTTTCAGTTTTGATGATTATCAGGATGTTACTTTTATACTGCAAGAGTGTTTGCTGTATTCAAAAAGCCACTACAAAAATATTATTTTGGTGGAGTGGGAATGGTATTCCCAGAAGTTTAATGATGAGCCAAGAATTTGGGATTAGATTTGGTGATTGATTTAATGAATAGAATTTTAAAGAAAAGTGTTTTATATGTTAATACTGAGGTAGTCACAGAATTAGAAATCAAAATGAATACATCTTTTTGTTCAGAATGTTAGTGAATATGGCAACTATAAATTTCTTTAAATAAAAGATGCTTTTATGTACACAAAAATGCTTTTCTGCCTACAGTCTTAAATTACTATTAATTAAGTAGTATGTAATAAAATAGGTAATTTTAGTGTTTTAATATGGATGCCAGTTGATTTGCTGGTCTTTCTAAAATGGCTATTGTTGGCTAATAGTCGTCAGGGGGTCATTTATATAGCCATCGTGGTTCTAAAAATATCTCTAAATACCAATGGGACAGCCTTTTTTTGAAGCATGGCTATTATAAAATGTAGTTTTGCTTGGAGTGCATCATTTTGATTATAGTTTTCTTATTCGTATCACTCAGTTACTTTAAGAATCTGTACAGCAAAAAAAAAATAATGCTGAAAAAAGAATAAAGGAAAGCTTTTTATATAAAATTTTCACAACAATATGGTAGTTAAAGAAAGATTTGAGTTAGGAGTATTGGGAATTTGTTCTATTAGAATTTTTAACTATTCTTTTCATTAGGATTTTAACTGGGGTTGTTTTTATGTAGGCTCAATGTTTTTATTTTAATTAATATTTCTATGGCAGAGAGATAATTAGGTAAATGCTGTTGAATATTAAATATGATAGTAGCTAAGGGGAAAGTAAGCATTTCTCGGTCAAAGCCCTTAACAAAATATTGTCATATGTGAGATGATTAATTGAATTGGGTGCCAAATGGGTTTGCCACCATCCAACCAGATTCACTCAGTTTATTATCTATGGTTCTGGAATGGAATTACTGGCTATGTCAAAGTTAATGGTATTCTTTTTAATCTCAGCTGCTAATGCAGTAAGTCTTGATTAGAGAATAGTTCCAACCTCATTAAACGCAGCTAAGTGTAAGAACTTCCCAAAGAGTCTGAACCTGTATGTCACATCAAGCATTTTAAATACTGAGCATGTGAAATTCTCAATGCTATCACCCAGTGGTTTCTGCATATTGGTAGCTCCTTCCATAAGGGCCCATTGAAGAGCCTAAAATAGATTCTAGACTACTCTCTTGTACTTGCTTCCTATATCTTACATTGAATGCTGAAGGAACTCAGCTTAATTTCTAATCAGAGAGATTGAAGATTTTCATCAACTACATCTAGCACAGAAAAACATTAGAGTTTATGAGAATTACTGTTCAACAGCATCCTCGAGTGATAGTTTTCAAATTGCACTTCCAAATATCCTAGGGTTTCAGACATTATGCAAATGGTTGGTTTGAATTTCAACCGTTTCGGAAACTGTAATGAAAGGCACATGCTAAATAGTCCAAATTTTTCATTAGAATGACCAGTGATTAACTTGCGTTGCCAGGCTAATGAGTTTGGGGGCAGATCTTAGAACGAAGCTTCTCCTGCCTTATTGAGCATATGTATGAAGCGTAATGAAAGGCACATGCTAAATAGTCCAAATTTTTCATTAGAATGACCAGTGATTAACTTGTGTTGCCAGGCTAATGAGTTTGGGGGCAGATCTTAGAACGAAGCTTCTCCTGCCTTATTGAGCATATGTATGAAGTTTTTGTAAACAGAGACTTTAGTGGGTTCCTAGCTCTTCTTTGTATGCAGGCTGTGTATGTCCACTCATGTGAAATTGTCTGGTAAGTGACACTATCCCAGCTTTCTTGTATGGGGTTTAATTTGTGCCAGCAGGGCTCAGGCAAATCTGTTTGGGAACTTGCTTTTGCCATGAGTAATAGTAAGTTAGAGCAGTGATTGCTAATATATTGCACTGTGATACAATAGTATAAGTTTAGGCTTATTTTGCATTTTAGGTGCCATTTGTCAAATGTATTATTCTAATGAGGAATAATGTTATGTATCATAAATAAATATCTTTGGAAAAAAATCCTAATAGTCTTCATTGACACCTCTGGTTCATTTTAATTAAGGGCATCTTGCAAATGAAAAGCAAGCTTTTTTCCCCCCCTTAACATTACCACTGGCAACCACCTACTTATGTGATTAGGATTATGTTGATGTTCTACCACCAAACAAAACATAAAAATAAATTAGCCCCTGCAGGTAATATAGAACTGTAGATGTCATCACTAACCTCTCATATTGGAGTTTTGTGTTCATCTGTATAACCTTGTTTGCATTGAGCAACTTTTAAAGTAAATGTTAGGTTATTCCTAAAAATTCTGGAATTTTTTTAATCTTTAGCATAGAGCTACAGAGCTCTGTACCAGGCAATTATTTCTACTTAGACATTCATAATGTATAGATCTTGGACAGCATAATTACTACTAAGTGTATGTCTTAGCTCAGGCTGCTATAACAAAGTACCATGAACTGGATGGCTTAAACAACAGATATTTATTTCTCATGGTTCTGGAGGCTGGGATGTCCAGGATCAAGGTGGTGGCAGATTCAGTGTCTGGTGAAGGTTCATAGACCAGTCTTTTTGCTGTGTACTCACATGGCAGAGGTGGAGAGAGGAAGCAAGCTTTCTTATACAGACTCTCTATAAGGACGTTAATTCCATTCATGAGGGCTCCACCCTCATGACCTTATCTTATTACCTGCCAAATACCCCACCTCCTAATAGCATCACATTAAGTGGTAAGGTTTCAACATATGAAGTGAGAGGAGGGGGATATAGGATTCAGTCCATAATAGTTTGCAAGTTCATTATTCTTACAATTTATTTCTGTTTCATGTAACTAAAAATTTGATGTCCAAAATGTAAAAGATATGAAAATTCAATCAATAGTAAAATGAATTTTAAGTTAAGGAGACTAGACAAAGACTGTTATGGCAAAATCATTACTTTATATTGGAAGTTACATTGAAATTTTATTGGAGGTCAGAGTTTGCCTATTTAACAATTCCATATTCCGTGTAAGCTGAGCTCTTCCAAGAGCACTCAGGGCAAAGAGGTGATTAAAATGGCCCCCATTTATGTTGGTAGAAAAAAGGAATCAGAAAGAAACATGTCAGAGTTTGCCTATTTAACAATTCCATATTCCGTGTAAGCTGAGCTCTTCCAAGAGCACTCAAGGCAAAGAGGTGATTAAAATGGCCCCCATTTATGTTGGTAGAAAAAAGGAATCAGAAAGAAACATGTTGTGATTTGATGTACCTGCTCTCCAATTTTAACTGGATTCAGCTCCATCTCTCTTCACAATAGTAAGAAAACCACTCATCACTTTCCCAACTTCTTATAGAAGCATTTGAGAGATGAAGGTGAAAGGCCTTGCAACCTGATATTCTTCTGGGTTTTATAATCCATTGTTTTTGTCCTAGACTTAAGTAAATGGCTTGGGAAAGCCTCAATTTATTAGGACATGAAAGCTTCACTCCCTGTAGGGTTGGAGAGTGTACTTCAGATATCTTATAAAATTTACTTTTTAAAGCACATTATTTATTCATTGGTTTTCCATAACATCTTTACCTACAAATATACATGGTGTGCTAGGGGAAAAATAATGATAAAATTGTGAGTTTAGAGAGCCTTGCAACAAAAAAAACTCATTGCTTGAGGCATTCTATGTAAGGAGTTTTTCACATCTTAACTTTAATATATAATGTATTTTGTGGCTAAAATTCTCCTATTCTAACCCCTCCCACTACCATCATTTATCATATTTCTGTCCTGCACAGTGTTGTGGACCCTGGATGAGCAGCTGTCCTTTTTATCGTCTCTTTGCTTACCTTGTGTTTGTCTTCTTTCTTTGCAGAGACCCTCCTTGATGACTTCCTTCTCACATACACTGTCTTCATGACAACTGATGACTTGTGCCAGGCGCTGTTAAGGCAATATCCTTCATTAACTTCAGGATGCTATGTCGGCTCCCTCCAAGACAGATGTCCCACATTGGGAATTAACTGCCTTTCTTAATTTACTCAATCCCTCAATCAATATCCTTCATTAACTTCAGGATGCTATGTCGGCTCCCTCCAAGACAGATGTCCCACATTAGGAATTAACTGCCTTTCTTAATTTACTCAATCCCTCAACAGAGTGTGGATATGTTCAATATTAATGTAATGATATCCGAGTCAAAAGATGAAATGAGACAGAATAGTCAGGGGAAACTGGAAATGCAGAGCTGCTGTCATCACGGTTGTTCTGTGTTGTGGGTAAATTGTATTGTTTATATTATGTTTGCTTCAAATTTGTGGCTCATGATCGCTTAGAAATCTGGAGGTAAGTGTGACCTACCTGGTAAACCCCAGAGTCAAGAAATTGAGTGGATTGACAATATCACACAGTAAGTGGACCTAGAGGAGAATTAACCAGTTAGCAGCAGATCATTTGTGCAGGAAAACATACATATGTGATATGTTTCCAGGCAAGTGTCCCAGGACAGACAAGCCATTCCCCTACGTGGGAGGTCTAAACTAACCCCTGGAATCAGTTGACATCTTTTCAAAGCTTTGTCACTGCATTCTCTCTTAGAAAGGGATGTGATTAGGTTAATGACCAGTTAAGGAAGGCTTATCATTTTATCCACTAACTAGAAGAGATGCAACATAGGAACATGGAAAGAAGAAAAAGCAAAGCCACATAAACTTGCTAAAAGTCCCCAAATGGGCTTCTTGCATCCCAATGTTTAAAGAAGATGCATCAGAAGCATTTAAGTAGCCTGTTAACTGTTATGTTTTTATTAAACCAAACTGAAGATTCCATTCTAGCCCACATGAAAATTTTAAGGAAAATGGTTATCTTTTTGTATATACTAAAGTTTTATTAATCCATAATGATAATGGCCCTTTAATACTCTTTTCCTGTTAAGTAATTACATGTCTCCCAACTTTACAGCATTTTCTTGACCAAAAGAGTACTTTAAAACTCCATAAAGGGCATAATTAATGTAAAATATCTTTTAAAAAATATATAAACTGGAAAGTGATTACTTTTTAGTGCTTTACCATATCCTGTGATCAAACAAAGCTGTAGGTATTTTGACACTTTTTAGAAACAGTTCATAAAACTGATCTTGAAACATTATTAGTTAGTTTTGAACTTGGAAAATTTCAGTAATATATTCAGATTTCTTCCATAGCTTCCAAGTAGAGTGTTTCTGAGAAACTTATCAATAATTACAAAGTTCTGGGCCGGCCCGGTGGCGCACTTGGTAGAATGTGGCGCTTGAGAGTGCAGCGGCGCTCCCGCCAAGGGTTCTGATCCCATATAGAGACCGGTCCATGAACTGAGGCTACACACAATTTGGGTAATTTCACAAACATGACGTAGAGAAAGTAGCAAGTCACAAAGAGTACGATGATCATGAATCCATTTTTAATAAAGTTCATAAACTGGCAAAACTAGAAAATATGCTGTTCAGGAAAACATAAAGAAAACGAAGGGATGATTATCACACAAGCCAGGTTAGTGGCTGCCTCAGCGGAGGAGAAAAGGGGTTGTGCATGGGTGGGACGCAGACAGCGTCCAGACAGCCACGTTCCAATCCTTAACCTGTTGCAGTTACATGGGTGTCTGCTGTGTCATCGCATGACACAAGAGTACCAACACTGAAACAGACAGAACTCCTCAAAACTATAAACATTTTGGGCCAGCCAGGTGGCGCACTGTAGAGTGTGCCACTTGGGAGTGTGGCGGCGGCGCTCCCGCCGAGGGTTTGGATCCCACATACAGACCGGTTCCCCGCTCACTGGGTGAGTGAGGGGCGGGCGCAGCACCGAGGGTTGCGATCCCGTTGCCGGTCCCAGTCCGGTACGGGCGCGACACTGAGGGTTGCGGTCCGTTGCTGGACACGAAAAAAAAAAGACAAAAAAAAACGTTGCCGGACACGAAAAAAAAAAAGACAAAAAAATAAATAAATAAATAAATAAATTTCTCCTTCAAAGGAATTTTGGAAAAAAATCTGTGAGCTAATTTCATCTACATTTTAATGCCAATATATTTCTAAAACAATTACCATCCATTAAATCATATAAATTGTGTTGTTATAGCAAATTAGACACTGTCAAACTATTATCTTTAACCATTATCCTAATATTATTTGTGATTATCATTTAACAATTTAGTGACTCATAAGATATCCATAAAGAATCTCTAAAACTTTATTTGGATATAAATATGTTTTGAGTCTTTGACTAAAACATTTTGTATGAAAATTTAGTTTATATTCTTAGTAGCCTTTTTGTTGATTATCAAAACCCATGAAATCTAAAACATTTTAAGCCAGGAGTCTTTCTGCATGATTGTTTCTGTATATTTGCACACTGCATTTAATGAAATAATACAAACCACAGTCAAAAATATGGCATCCATATTTAATGTGAGATATTTTTATGCCTATCTTAGTAAAGATGTCTTCATATCCCACTAATATCAACTTCTAGGGAGTGGCCCAAATTAATTTCTATTTTTTTCCCCATGGTTTTTGAACATTATTTATAGATTAGAGCCATTTATGCCGGGTTTGGATATTTTAGATGGGCATTTTTATAGTAATAGAATTTAGTAGCTTTCAGCTTTTAGCATAAAGAGCGTTATTTAAGCTTATAGCCCTGGGCCAGCTAGTATTCAGTGCATTACACAGAAGTTATAAATCTCACCCAATGCCTTCCCACTATCCCCCCACCCCCAGCTAAATGTATAAATCAGTATAATCTAAAACGGATAAAATGTAAAAAAAAAAAAAAAAAATAAGTATATACTGTAATATAGAAAACTAGAATAATACAAATGCAAATTTGATCATTAATATTTTTAAAATGTATATGTTGTAGGGAGGAGAACAATGTTAAGCAAATAAATGTTAATAACTATGAATGGAGAAGAATGGTTGAAGTGTTAATCCCTGAAATTGCTTTCTTCTGCTGATCCGTAATTGTAGAACATATTTATGCAGCTTGAATAAAAAGCTCATATTTTCACTTACATATGCAGACCAAAAAAAAAAGAGAAGTTATTAGTATTAATTTTTCAGATTTTTTTCTTTGTATTAGTGAAGCCATTATATTCAAAGGAAAAGGAGAAAAGAACATTTGCATAAGTAGAAATAATGTAGGATAAATCTTTATATTTTGACTTTCAAGAGAAAAACTAGAAGAAATAGACACTTCACCAGATTTTTGGTGTTTGTCTTAGTTTGTCACAGGCGAAAATCAAAGATGGCCTTAATATATTTTTACAGGATGGGGAGAAAATAACTAAATAATGTTTAAAAATATTTACAAAGCCTGATGTAGAATTTATTCCTATTTTGCAATTATAATTGTAATTATAAATTATAATTTTTCAACATTAAAGAATATATAATACTGTTCAACAACCCCAAAGCCTACCTGTGTTTTATAGTGTTTCCTATTTCTAGTTAACTTTTCAATGTGTTCAAGACACGCAGAAATTATCCCTTTGGATACAAAAAGAATAGATCAATTTAGAAAATGCCAGCTGCTATCTCATTCCTAGTCATTTGAGCACTCTGTCTTTGAGGTTTTTATTTTTATATAATTTTAACAGCATAGTTAATATATGGTCATTGTATATAATTTAGAAAATGCCAGTAAGCAAAATAAAAATAATTCATGTGCTCTGAAATCTCATTACCTTGTGAAGTCACTGTTAACTATTCAGTGTATATCCTTCCAGATAATGAAATTATTCATATAAATAAGCATTGTTAACCAAAATGGATCATCCCAATATATTCTTTTCTTACTTGCTTTTCTACTCAACAATATATTGTGAGTGTTCCATGTCAATTAATGTACTGCTGGACCATCTTTTTTTTTTTTTTAATTTTTTTATTATTAGCGTATTCATTATTACAAACTGTGATTTTTCTTTATGCCCTTTACCTGACCTATCACTCCCCAATGGATTATCACTTTTTTTATGGCTGCAGAATAGTCCGTGGGTATGTAATAATTTATTTTACTATCCTCAATTGTTAAAGCATTTAGGTTATTTTCTATTTTATTTTTTAAGTTTTATTTTAATGGAAATCAGCAGTCCCCTTTACCTCTGTGTTTGCACATTTATCCCATTCTTTTTTTTTTTTTTTTCCTTTTTGTCTTTTTTCATGACCGGCAACGGATTGCAACCCT